GTTACCTGGAGTATTAATGGTACTAAAATCCAGGACTCTGCTCCTGCGAGAAGGTGCCCTTGAAGGATGGGATGATGCACTGCGCTGTCTGAAACTCTTCCATGTGCGCTACCCCTCCAACGCAGCTCTGTCGTCAGCACTACGCGTCAGCCGTCGCCAAGCTTCAACCTGACACCAAGCAATAAAAAATGGAGCAGTTAAAAGGGGGAGAGATCCCTGGGCACTAAGAAACAAAGTTAGAAATGCTTACTTTCCTAAAGTGTGCATGAACCTCAAAAATGCATAATCCCCCCCCCCCAAGTCTGTCCCATGCTGCAAATCCTGTGAAACCCCTCTGTCCATGGAAAGTCCCTCGGCAGGTTGTGCTGCTCTGTGGGATTGTACCTACCACTGCTCTCCCTGTAAAACACGGGAGGCTGTTTCTGAATATGTGAACCTTTCTACACCTGCAATAAACATTGGAATAAACTTTCACCTTCAGAGTAAAAGTAGAGCTCGTTCAGTGGAAAAATACAACCTTGGCAGCCCTGGCCATGCAACTGCTAAAAAAAAAAAAAAAAGTCCTGCCTATTAATCGCAATTCAAACAGAAATCCGCTCCCCGTCAGCCGGGGGAGCTTGTTTATGTGTTTCTTGGAACAATAAAACTCATTACCTGGCAGCCGATCAGCTTTTATAACCTAAGCAGGCACCTGACAGAGGGGCGCACAAGAGAGCTGCTTCAGCACAAAGCCGGCTGTGGGAAAGCCAGCGACAACAGGCCTTCGGTCCCAGCGAGGCACCGACACGCACTTTCAGCTCTGCAAACGTCCCATGTCCTTTTCCAGGTCTTTATCGTGTTCCTTCTGCTGTGGCCCAGAGCCCACGGACTCCTGCAAACTCTCTGCAGACAGGATTGCACCCACATCCCAAACTGCTCCTGGTCCAGACAGGGGGAGAATAAGGGGGGCAAGAACAACAGTGAAAAGTAAGAGAGGTCAGACTTGCCAATGTCACCTCATTGCCACAGTCTTGGAGAGGTGGATGGACTCAGCTGGGGGGTTTGCTGGGAGCAGCAGGGGAAGGAGTGGGGCAGCTGGTGAGGTGGGGGTAGAGGAGAAGGTATGAGCTGGGCAAGGAGACACAAAGGGGCTGAGACGGGCGGTGGCAGAGCCTGTGTGTGGCAGAGCCAGGGGATGCCTTGATGACAGGGGATGCCTTGATGCCTTGATGGTGGTTGGACTCAATGATCCCAAGGGTCTTTTCCAACCTGGATGATTCTGTGATTCTGTGTGACACAGCTGAGCTGACCTTTGCCTGCTGTGGCTGTGCTAGGGAGGCATTTTCCCTTTTCACCCCTCGTTTAGTCTCCCTGCTTTGCTGTTTTGGTTATTTGGTATATCAAAGCACACGGTTCACCCCGCTTTACAGCTTTCAACTCCCATTTCCTCCAGCTCCCACACAAGCTGGCTGGCCCCCACACACTAGCAGGACTCAGCCAAGACTCTTGTATCCGACGCAAGACCCCTAGAAACCTGGCACTCAGCAGGCGTGCATAGAGCTTTCAGCTTATATAAACCTGTAGTTCTACAGTTATATGCATCCCCATGGAAACCACTAGGAGTTTCCCCTTGGTGAGGACGGCAGTAACATCACTTCCTGGTGCTGACAAACCAATTTGTCATGAAGTGATAAAAAGGCATGTTTTGTGTTTGCAGGAACTGGCTCCGGGCTTTGTTCCTCCCAAGCTAGAGGCGGCTGACCCGCCCCAAAGGCAAACAATGGCCATTGTGTGCTGTGCAGAGCAGGGATGGGGAGACACGGACAAGACCTTTGGGCTTCCAAAATGCCAGAGGATGGACCACCGACACGCCAAAGGTCACAAAGCGCATAGAGAAAACGAGAATCATGGCAGTGTGGGGCTCCATACAGCACCTGTAGATGGATCCCCACAGCTAAGGGGTGTAAGCGACCAACCCATGCGAGGATGTAGCACGTGAGATGCATGTAATATCCCCGGCAAGATGCAATACCCAGGGGATACGGTATACCCAGTTATCACATGACAAACAGACACAGAGCCCCAGATTAGACATGTCTTGGGTAATCCCCTTGTCTCAAAGCTTTTGCCTTTCTTTGTAATAAGCCCTCAAAAGGCACTGGATGTACTCAGGCTTAGGGACTATCCTGCATTAGTCACCCCCAGTATCAGACTAGCAGGGCCACAAGGATGTGTTACGCCATTATGTTGAAAAAAGAACATTACATCCAGATCATACACAGGCAAATCTAGTTTGCCTGCTTACCACCTGTTTCTTTTTTTCCCCTCTGTCTGGGTCCACGGCAGCAGAAAGGGCATTGAGAGTCATTTGGAAATGGTGTTTAAGTGCAGCCCTGGATAGCCCACTCCCCAGCTCCAAAGACATGCAGGAGAAAAGCTCATGGTGTGTGACTGTCTAGTGTGGTTAGAAGTCACTACACCTCAGACCTCATCTAAATCCATTTCTTATCCTCTCCCTCATGCAGCAATGAAGGCCATGACAGACAACTGCATGCAGTGCAGTCAATGAGACTCCACCCTGGGCTTTGGCTTCCCCAGATCTGCTCCAATCCAAAGCTGTAGGGAGGTTGGGAAAACAGCTAAAACCTAGGCTAAAACCCACTCATGCTGAAAGAACAAATCAGCCCTGAGGTTTGTGCTGTGTGTGGCCTTCCCTCTACATGCTGTTTACTGCCCTTCAGAGCCAGCAGCCACGGCCAATGTGGGGCTGGCAGCCCAGCCAACAGACATGGCCAAGGCATCAGGCCAGCTGGGTCCCGTTAGCCCCCATCAAGGGCACAAGAGGTTAAGTGGGATCAAGATATTGAAGGAGGGAAAGCAATACTGAAGGCCAATACCTGAGAGGTTGGGGAGAAGCAGGACTTGCTGATCCTCTGCTGGTTTAATTGGCCTGGCTGTGAGGACTTCAGTCCTGGACAGTTGGCCCAGCTGGGGACCTGGCTCAGCACTGCGTGCCCTGCTCTTTCTCAGGCTGTGGCCATCCAACACTGAGGGCAACCTCCAAGGGATGAACTCAGGTACCTGAGAGGAAGCATCTGAGTTGCTC